AATTTTTGAGTGCTCCATCCAATAATCGATACATCCACACATTATTCCATGTTTAAAGGTAGAAAGTAAGAACCGCGTCAAAACACCGATAAATAAAACATTAGTCTCTACTATAAATAGAAGTTAATCGTTTCCATCCAATAATCGATACATCCACACATTATTCCATGTTTAAAGGTAGAAAGTAAGAACCGCGTCAAAACACCGTTGTTTGGAGCAGAACCCCGTCCGAACCTACGACTAATTACTACCTGACGCCACAGCTTAGATGATTAGCCACCAAACGAAGTTGTTAGGTTGAAAAATAAAATTTGGCCAGACCTCAGACGAATGAGTTTAGTAGCCATCTTAACTTTTTTTTTTAACGCAAGTAGTCTGAAATAGGTTGGTCGATTTACATAAATTTAGAAATTGACACCTATACACACAAATGTTCGTTGTTTGTGAATTCACCCTCTTGTGAAACATCAAAACCAAAACAGAAACATAGAACAGCAAATAGGTTAACAATGTTCAAGAGTTCACCATAAACTCAAGTAACTTATTATAAGTTTATTAGATATACTTCCGCATGGTCCCCAAATGTGTTGCTTCAAGAGTAAATAAAACCAAAATTAAGAGTAACAAATATTTTTATTTCTTGTTTTTGAAGCTCATATGCCATGCCGTGTTGTAGCCTACAGAGCGCATAATTCTTCTCATGATTCATGACATGAGCACGTTTTAGTAACGTCACAATTGTAACGTTAAGTGTTCCTTATGTGACGTCATTTTAGTGTCTGCTGACTGACTGACCGACAGACAAGACACTTCTGTATAATGGTGCGAGTGGTTAAAACAGGTGATCCATCCAGGCGTCCTTTGGCCCCCTTTCGGAGACATAAACTAGAGTGAAAAACTAATTTGAAATAAAAAGAACTTATAAACTAAGGTAAGACAGCTAGTCAACAAAACCCACCTACCAACTCTTGAGCTACTCTTATCTCGCCGAATAGTAGGGTTTGTCTGTTACTCTTACAACGCATCCAAAGTGTCAAAGTACACAGTTCAATTATGTGTCAATGGAACGAGAACCACGGTTTCTTTTTAAAATGGTGTAAGTAGTACGTTCACTCAGATGTTTAGCTAGAACTCTAAGATCCTTTTTCTGCAGAATGAATGTGTAAAAGTTTGTTATTAAAAATGATACCATCTTAAGTTTTTTGCATCGATATACGTACATTTGGAAGGTGAACAACCCCAAAAAAACTATTACCCTTGACACAAACAAGAATAATTTTAACGTTAAAATTCGGACTACACCCAACTTTTATCTCCAACTTTCCATGTTGTCTATTGTTGGCCTCTTTTCACATAAAAAATGGGGAAAGAATACGATTTAACTTCCGGTTAGAAAAAGGGTGTGTCTCACTGAGCAGGCAACCAAGTGCGGATAGCCAGAAAATCGCAAAGAAAAAGAGAGTTCAGTATTTCCTGTCATCATTTTTCAGTATTTGCGCTTCGCTACGAACGCCAGAATATCCAGCCTTCCTATAATAATCTGAGTTATATACCACTTATTATTTTTCCAAACACGTTTCACCCCGGTTAACTTATAATCTCGCCATAACGACAAAAATTACAGTAACCTAGGAACGACGTAATTTGTTAGGCTGAGCCATGAACTTGTTATATATATATATATATATATATCAGATAATCTTGTTTCGGCCAAGACTCATCAATTAGAATTCATTATATAGATTGTTTTAAGACATTCAACGAAAACTGGACCGAAAACTATATTGGAGACTACCACATGCTTCAAAAAAAAAAAAAAAGAAATACGCATCACATTGTTTCATATTTGTTCAAATTTCATACACAAACTTTTTCGACTTAAAACTAAAATACGTCAACAGGATATACACTGACACTGATACTACTTAGCTGGTTAACCATAAAATGATAAACACAATCTCTCGTAATTCCAAAAGTAATAATAAATTTAAAGACGGTACGTCTTGTTACTCGGAGCCTAAGTCACAACAAACGGTCCGCCAAATAAAATAATACGCATGAACAATTACACAATATTTCAGAACTTTCCCTTGGTTTTTAAGTAGTTTTTCGCATAAGTTTCACTATTTTTGGCACTATCTTATATATTTACTTTTTCTGTTGGTTAACTGTACTCCTATTTCTTTGTTTTCCGTCTTGTTTGTGCCCCCTCGTTTCTTTGATTTCCGTTTGATTGATGTGTTCTTCCGTTTCTTTGGTTTCTGTTTCGTTTACGTGCCCACCACCACCACAAGCAGTGTTTTTCCTATAATTAAGGACGAACTATACTAACCATAGTGATCAAGTAACATGTAGTTCTCGATGTTAAGTTATTGTTAACTAAATTTATTTACCAAGATATTCAATTCCATGAACTATGGTTTTAGAAACAATGATATAAATGACGATATAACAATTCTAATATCCGTGGTCTATTTTAGTTTGTAAATCTTTGTGAATTTGTAAGCAAAATAATTATATTATAAACGTCTGTAAATTTGTTTTGGCGGTCCTGGTTCCTTTCTTCAGAGTTATATATTTATCTAGTATGTTTTTGTTTTTGTAATTTAGCAAAAAACTACACAATGGGCTATCTGAGATCTGCCCACCACGGGTATCGAAACCCGGATTCTAGCGTTATAAGTCCGCAGACATACCGCTGTGCTACTGGGGGACTATCTAGTATGTAATGGTGTATGTATAAAATTCAAACACGCTGTTACATACGATGTAAATTCCTCTCTGAAGAATACAACCAAGTGCTGTTGAAACATGTAGGTCCTTTACATTAAGAATAATGTTTTAATTATTGATTTATAATGTTATTTTTGTACTACAAGTTTATAGATTTGAGCATGAAGGAGTCTTTATATTTATATATATATTTTATATTTAAGTTTTTGTATGCAAAATTATCGATATAACGGTGTGTCCACAGTGAGCAACTTATTTTAAAATCGGCTCCCCTAACTAAAAATCTTGGACCCGCCCCTGTTCACGATCCCTGTTCAAGATTAAAACTTGGGAAAAGAACAAAAAACTCATTACTCACTGTTTGCTTCAATTTGCTTGTTTCAGAATTTTCGTACAAAGCTACACAAAGGGCTCTACGCGTAACCGTCCTTAATTTTGTACTAAAGACTACAGTAAAAGTAGCTAGTCAACAGTACCCACCGCCAACTTTTGGATTATTCTTGTCAAACCGAATAGAGGAATTTGGTTCGTCATTCTTATAACACACCAACAGCCCACACTGATCACAAAAAAACACGTACACTTCCCATTAATATGGACTCTGCAGGTGAAACACAGCAACCCTCATTCTTAAGGTGTGGTATGTTAGTGTTTCTGGTAATATATTAAGATCATGAGTATCAAAATGATGTTCTTTTTCTTTGTTGTTGTTTATCTATAACACAACTGAAGGAAATCCGCAAATATGTCTGTCAGTTATCAAAATACGATTATCTAAGAACATCTAAGCACATCGTTAGTTAAGTGTTAACACAACTAAAAACGTTACAGGGTATCGAAAATAGTTTATTATAATTTTCCAGTTAAACATTAACATTTTCCTTTATATAACGGCGTATTCTACGAGCCGACATTTTTGTCTTCATACTCTATGCTGTAACATATAAGAGTACAGGAAGATACGCGCATGAGATTGGTGTAACGTGAATCATGCGTTTGCCGTGTGTCGCAGAATCCTATGATTAAAGGCAGTTCAAATCTGTAAAAAAATGTACAAAAAATACGTGGAAATTTTAAATAAATATATGCAGATAAAATCTAGAAAGTCTGTGGGAATTTGGTGAGTATTTTCTGTGTATAATATCTGCAGTAATAATAATTTATTATAAAAATGTAAATCATGTAGAGGTAACTATATCAAACAATGTATGGGAAAAATACTTTTAATTCTAATGTTTTTGTTTGCTTGTAGTTCAACACAAAGTTACACAATGGGTTACCTTTGCTGTACCCACCACGGATATCGAAACCCGGTTTTTAGCGGTAGAAGCCTTCATACTTACCGCTGAGCCACTGGGGGACTCAATTTAATGTTTGTTTGTAAGGAATTAAGCCCAAAGCTACACAAGGGGCTATCTGTGCTCTGCCCACCACTGGTATCGAAACCCGGTTTCTAGCGTTGTAAGTCCGCAGACATACCGCTGTGCCACTGGGAAGCCTCAATTAAATGTAGCAAGAACCAAAAAAATACAAAAAAGTTATTTATCTAAACATTGTAAATAAATTTATGCAATTATGTAATGAGTAATCAATTACCAGATAACAAATGTACAATAACTTGGATTGCAAATGATTAAAAGTACGTTTTATTGTATGGTTACTGTTTAACATTAACAATTTACTTACAATTATAAATTACAGGAGGAACTTATTGCCTGTACTGCTCTGCTCATTATCTTTCCTCCAATCACACGCACATCCACCTATTTTCTTACACACACACACACAAGAAAGTGTAACTTAACTGAATTTGCCCGTTTTACATTGCAGAAACTACCCCCCCCTCCGCCCCCACTCTTCTTTTTTTACTTTTATATATACCTCACCAGTCGGCGAGTGAAGCCGAGGAATTAACGCACCGAACTGTGGATCCGAGGTTCTGTAGTTCACGCCCCGTTGCTGAACAAATAAAATCGCGCTTCGCACTTTGGGGCCGTATGTGCGTTATAAGAGTAACGATCCATTCCAACTATTCCCTTAGAGTAGCCCATAGGTAGGCGGTGGGTAGTGTTGACTAGCTGCCTTCTCCCTTTCTTTTTTATCACTTCAAAATTAAGGACAGCTAGTGCGTGAAATTCAAGAAGCAACAACAGCCTCAACAGTCAAATAACTTTCATTTTCATCTTAAGTTTAACTAACTTATTCAGATTCTTGTTTAAGTTCACTCTCGCTGTCTTTTGACACATATACGAATCAAATCTGAAACAAGAAAAAGGATCTCTGTAACAGTGGACTTATCATTTTAAATTTTTGCTCTGTATCTTAATATATATATATATATAATCTAGTGTTGCTGATCATATAGACCAACAAAGGTCACAGTTAGGATTCCTCATTTTCGTCTTGTATTTCTGTTCATCTTCCTGCCTTTTAATAAATCTGAGCTGATTCGCTTTCTTAATTAGATTTAAGAGATAGCTGTTAATTGAAGTCAAAGATCGTTAGGTGTACATTTATGTTAGTACTCTACATATGATTATAACTTCGTTTTATTTCAGTGACCAATGGTAAAAATAAAAAATACGCAAGAAATACTTTATTTCTTGCATTTCAGAAAATACTATTTTATTTATTGTCATGCTGCTTTACATTAAGTAAGCAACAATGTCAATTTTGTTCCTTCCCTTCCAATCTCGTAGGCGGAGGGATGGGTGAATAGGCTATCAACGTTTGTACGTCACGAGCTAGAACGTCACTTGACATCTGTGGTATTACTCGTGGAACACGCAATACGTAATAGTATATAGTCCCATATTTATTATCTCGTTTTATGGTTATTATCACATAATTGTGTTCCTTAACCCACATGTATAAGCAGACATAATATTTTCACCTAGAATAAAAATATTTTAGGGCGGTGTTCCCCTTTTAAAACTTATTAGAGAAAATAACTAAATATTAATTTCACACAACATAGAATCAAACCAAGAAATGTAATTCGTTTTATTTTTGATCGCGGTTTAAGATAATCGACATGACATTAACTTTTTTATAACGGTTAAAGATTGTACAACCCTAGTATTTTACACTATTTATCTAAATCTTAATTCGTACTCTTAAAATAAATGTGCCCCCCAGTGGCACAGTGGTATGTCTGCGGACTACAACGCTAGAATCCGGGTTTCGATACCAGTGGTGGGTAGAGCACAGATAGGCCATTGTGTAGCTTTGTGCTTAATTAGAAACAAACAATTAAAATGAATGTACAAAACAATGTCCAAGATTGTCTTTCCTTTATTTAGCCTAGGTCTGGAAACATTCCGTATCCATGTGACGTAATAACAACCATCATCTTCAGGTCGTAACGTTTCACCTACGCCTATAAATATGCTTTTAACCTAGGCCTATAAACATGTCGTAACACTATCAAAAGAGCTTTATCTTAATAAAATATCGATAATTCCCTTGGACTTGACTTTTAATTTTTGACTTGAAGGTTTACAAGGAAAGCGTATCAATCTAGGGATTTTGATTCATTATCTAACAGAACCGAACGTAACCTAGTGATTAGCAAGTCCAGAATGTGAATCAAAAGATTCATAGTTTGCATTCTGTTGCTGCCGTAAGTGCGCTACACTAAAGACAGTCAAATCTCACTATTTTGCCCGAAAAAAAGTCGTCCAAGAGTTGGCGGTAGGTGTTGTTTACTCTAGTCTATCAGTTCAACATTAAGAACAGTTATGCGCAGATAATAGCACTTGTGTTGCTTTGTACGAAAATCTGAAACAAATTCTTACCTAATAATTAAGAAAGTATAATATATATATATATATGGTAATCTTCAGTTTAACTGAAGTAGGCTTACAAGAATAATGTACGAGTTCATAATTGCATCAAATATTATAAATATTCTTCAAACAGTTCGAGATAAGATAAAGTATTTTTTCCTTATCATATGTGCAGACTTCACTTTTACATGTTAGCCGCAAGGGCATCATTTGTAATGTAACATTGGCCAGCAACTGTTGAAGAAGAAATTAGTTTTGGAATACCGAAAGATCCAGTCACTTTTAAAAAAGAAAGATTGAATCCTCAATAGCCGCGGTACTTGAAATGCTTTTAGGTAGGATTAGAGTAAATTAATCTAGGAGACATTTATTTACCATTTTATTAAATATAATTTTGTGCACCAGCAATACCCGTTTCGATTTTGTTACTCATCAGGATCTCTACAAGCCTACCCTCAAATTGAAATTATTTTAGGCAGGATTAGAATAAATTAATCCATGAAACCTTGGGCGTGGTAAAAATACATCAATCGGAGGGGTTTGACATCCTGAGTGGAAAACTTTAATTAGATCTCAAATCGGTCAAGAGATGACGGAACTACGAGCTAAACTTTTGTGCTTGAAGAAAAAACAACAAAAACTCAGAGTCGTTCTATGAGCAGCTACGTCTCGGCTAAAAAGAAACGAGTTGTTAGCGACACCATACTACTAGCCCATAAATAGTTTTATACTTTTGTCATAGAGTAAATATTTTATCACATTGAGGTAAATTCAGTCTTTTTATAAAAATCAGTTTACACAATACAAGAATTTTCTTACCACAAATATTTAATTATACAACTGTAGCTCAAAGCACCAACGATGAATTTTGGGTAATTTCGAGGAAGATGTCGCTATGTTCTTACTTCTACACAATAAATTCAGTATTTGCATTATTTCCATCTCGTTTGCCACAAGTTCAAAACAAAATATTTTGTCTAAGAATGAAATATTCAGAGGTATCCAAAGTCTTGTGAAATAAAATAGATATGTCCTTACCAATGTACTTTACAGAACATAGGGGAAAATGTAAGTTTAAAGACGTTTTACACAGTTATGGAATTCCATTTATACTGTAACAAATTAAACCATTTTACTAAAATATTGAAATATGTTCCTTGGAGAGAAAACAACAACATCGAAACAGGAGTTTGTAGCTACATGTGTTAAAAAACTAAGGTCTGCCCCCAGTGGCACAGCGGTATGTCTGCGGACTTACAACGCTAGAAACCGGGTTTCGATACCCGTGGTGGGCAGAGCACAGATAGACCATTGTGTAGCTTTGTGTTTAACTACCACAACAACAACTAAGGTCTAAATCAAAATATTTAACAATGAATTTACAGTTTGTTTAATAAATTGCTAATCAAATATACATTAAATAGTTAACATCGAATTGGAAGTTTTGTTTAAAGCAATGTTAATCAAAGCAAAGAACTGTTAAATACCTAAGCCTATTCACTGAATTCCTTTTCTTTTTGTTATCGTTATTGAACAAAATTATTAAATGGCCCAAAATCGAAGTGACACATTTGCATCAAAATGGGATTTCGTTGAAATGTTAAGCAGAGAATCTAAAACAGTCGAGATGTATGTCCAAACTGATTAGATTTGATCGAACTAAAATATTAAAGCAGGAATGCGACCCTATACGGTTCTGCTGTGTCCTGCTTTATATAACACAGATACATAATGAACTTTCCTCACTTATTTTTTTTTATTTTCAACTTCAATATTTTTGTTACCAGATAATTTATTTTCCCATTGAAAATGTTCATTCATTTGTTTTTCCTGATATCTTATACATATCTGTTGTTTCGTTATTTCCCTGTAAAAGCAGGTCTGGGTTTTCGAATTATCGTACGCACTTATAACTGTAAATAAGGCCACATTTAATTTGAGGCCTAGTCACGACTCTTTCCAATTATCAGGTTCTTTCTATTTCTTATCGGGAAACACGACACACTTTTACTAACACAGCAAGTAACGAGGGTATTCAAAGAAGTAAAAATTAAGTAACGAGAGTATACAGTTCTATACCAGAGGCAAATACATACACGTACTTGTTATCCCCTCAATAACGGAAGTAAAACTAACCCTGGGCTTCATGAAGATTTCAAAAAAAAAAGATATGACAAATTTTGTATATTCTGAGAAAAACAAAACACGAAAACACGTGTATAATATATACACAATTTCTTGTGGTTTAGTGGGTGAATTTTAACTCGCGCTTTAATCCTGTTTATTTTGTATTGTTTGATTTGTAGCGCAACACAATAGGTTATTCTGCATTCTATCCACTACGGAGAATCGAACTACAAGTTGTAGTATTGTAAGTCTTCAAACGTACTGCTGACTTACTGGGGGACAACACGTACTCTGAAGTAAAAATCAAGTCTTTGAACTTTAACGATTTAAACACGCATTTTATAAAGATTATCAGATAATAAAAAAGTTGTATCATTTTAGGGTTTAACTGCTTAAAGTGCAAAAATGAGCAAGGGTTTGTTGACAGAATATTTCTTATTGTTTCCAAACAGGGAAGCTATTAGATCAGAAACAAGTGTCGTAATACTGTTATTGTTAGTGTTTTCGGTTTTAATTATCTTCCATTACATGATTCCAAATTAAAATAGTTAACCAACTTAAGCAATAACTGAATTAAATCCTTACAGTTGACGTGGCTACATCATCGCTAAATCACGGCATATTTACAAATTTTCATTTGAACCAATCCGAAATGATATAATAAATGGATTGATAAGCATAGACACCTAACACATAAGGCAAAAAGGGTATGTTGCCCACATTTTTTACATAATGAGGAATCTATACATTTAGCCCTCTCTTCAACTCTTTTCATTTAACGTAAATAAGCTATTATTACAAATTTGTTACGTTGACAAAATGACCAAGTTTATGATTAGATATTGCGATTAGAAGGTGATACCAATGCTTTTCAATTGTCAGATTATTTTAACTGCTGTTTATACTTACTGTTCTTTGTCAGTTAACACCAGAAATGTTTTCTTCGCTTGCCAGAGCTTCGTAACCATGATCTAAAATAGAGTTTATTTAATCCCCTATTTTCTAGCAAAGTTCGACGTTCCTGTGTGTGAATGTTTTCATGTCATACAGAGACCCGTCATCAAGCAGTTTATTGAAAGTCTAACATGTGAAACAGGTCGAGAAGTTTCCACTGAAACATGTTTAACTCAGTTATTGAATAGTGAATGTTTTCATGTCATACAGAGACCCGTCATCAAGCAGTTTATTGAAAGTCTAACATGTGAAACAGGTCGAGAAGTTTCCACTGAAACATGTTTAACTCAGTTATTGAATACAACTCGTTTCCTAATGAAGGGGAGAAAATGTGTACAAGCAATTAGTGTAGTTTAATCCTATGGTGTTCTATATAACAGGATGACTGATTCTTGCCTTATTCCTGATGCTTACTTCAATGCACGACGTAAAGTTCAAGTGCTCTTGCTTCGAGTTGCGCGTAAAGATAGAAAATACTGGATTGGGTACTTCCGACCTAATTACGTACTCATAAGTACGCGAGTACAAAACTAATATTGTAACTTTCAGAACGACAATATTATTCTAATGGTTCCTGCGAGTTGGAAATGTCTACGAGTAAAAACCATACTCACCATCTTCAGTCGTTGTTTAGCCTACGGGATCAAGAGAACTCTTGCTTTCAGTGGTCCCAGTTTGGTGTGTGTTGACAGTGAACAGGTCTATCTACTTGTTACTCCACTTGACACCTCCCCTGAAGCTAGCGGTTATTTATAGCATTAAGCTGCGTTCCACCACCGACGATTCAACCCGGATTGCGTCCGGTACTCTACTTCTATCCGTTTACACACAGTAGAAGCCTGTTGCGTCTTCTTGACGGACATGTACAAAGACGTTATACGACTTGTGACTCAACAAGAATTGCGTGCGTCTTGGCCGGGAACAAGGACGAGATGAAATTCTTCGAGCTTCTAATTCTACATGGTAGATTTTGCTCGTGGTGTTTTTCTGACTTCCCTGTTTATTTTTAGCAACACAGGCGGCGCTGCATTTTCGCCAGATCTATATGTACAGAACTACTTCCCCATTTGCAAACTTATCTCTTCACGTTCGCAGGCTTTACATGAAAACGGATAAGACTACGTGTAAGTGATTAGGTATAGGTAGTCATGTTAGACAAATCAGCAGGTACTGTAAAGGCTAAGCAGTCCTAAGGTTGCTGTTTTTGTGAAGTGTAATTATGCAATCCATCCTTCAGACTTTCGTCAATAAAAGCCATAGGCATCACGACTGGAAGAAAGTGAAAACAACTTAAAGAAAATGCAGTTATGGTTGGTTTAATAAGAAACTTACTTTTAAATAAAACGTAAATTTAACTGGGTAGCTACTACTTTCTTGAATATGGGTATAAGTTTCAGTATAACTCATTCTGACTAATCCATAAAAAACAAAAAAACTCCCCCTGTTCTCGAAAATTAACATTTAGTCCTTACTGCATGACTTAACACAAAACAGTGTACGTTTATTTTTATCAACCAGAAAGTTTAGTTAGACTTACCTTCGTAGTCCGCTCGTACTTATGACAAATGATTTTTTTACACGATTTGTTTTCAATTGCGCGAAAGCTACTCGAGAGCTGTCTACGCTAGCCGTCCCTAATTTTGAAATGATAGCCTACGCGAAAGGCAGCTAATGAAAACCACCCACCGCCAACTCGTGGGCTATTCTAATCGAATAGTGTGGTTTGTCCATCACTCTTGTAACACATAGTCTGGAACACTGACCACTGGGCAACATCCAGCCCTTCTTAATACGTTGTTGTTGATTTGTAGCGCAAAGCTACACAGTGACCTACGTAGGCTCTGTCCACCGCGAGGGATCGAGCCACAAATTCTACCATTGTAAATCTGTAAACTTATCTCTGGTTCACACGAAGCATAAAGAACTCATAACTATTGCCTTGTTGTGTTCCATTCAAAATTTGTTTTAATGAATTTCTCGTTTCTCTATAGTTTTATAAAAGACGACGTTCATTTGTACAAGTTATAGACAAAATGTGAATCTGAAGACAGTTTATAACTGTCTGTATAGAAATAATTACATTGTCATGTCATTTAAATTACTACAGTTAACATGTCTAATACTAGATGTACTTACGCAGGGTCCCGGAAAGTTTTTTTCTTTTAAGAGTAAATAAAACCAAAATTAAGAGTAACAAATATTTGTATTTCTTGCTTTTCAAGTTCATATGTCATACTCTGTTGTAGCCTACAGAGTGCATAGTTCTTCTCGTGATTCGTGGCATGTGCACACGCGTTTTTCTGACGTCACGACTATACAAATTGCAACGTTAAGCGTCTCTTATGTGACGTCATTTTAATGTCTACTAACTGACAGACAAGACACTACTGTATATGGGTGCGAGAAGTTAAAACAGGTGACCCCTCCGGACGCCCTTCGGTCCCCTTTTGGGGAAATGATATACCCATTCCAATTACCTCACTTAAAAACACATTGCATAACGTGTGTACAGAAACAGCGACGGTAAAACTTCACCTTATGGTATGAATATAAAACTCAATAAATAAATCATTATTAATGATGTATGGCAATAAAATAGTGTTAAAAACCATTACCCATATTCTTGTATGTTGTGACATGAATTAAATTGATGAAGAATTACATTTCATCAACTTAATACAGTTCACACAAGAACAGTTGTTTTTCAAGCAGTTTGATAATATAAATAGCGTTCCAAGCACTACTTTGTACGTCGTATCCCAGCCAGTCTGAAGAGCCCTGGTATTGTACGAAAGGCCTCGTTGGAATTGGATATAGAGACTATAGTGGGGTTGACATATTATTATATGTTCTTCTTTGCTCTCACTTAGAAGTGCTTATTACCATAAAATGGCGACTATTAAAAATACGTCATATAATGTGCTCACACTTTTCGTATTTGTACGGTTAGAAATGCGTCGTATAAAATATCCATGTAAATTTTGACCATTAAAGATATATTGCTCAGTGTACAATACAAATAAGAGAGTTAAACTCAAACAGTATGATGTCCCATACAATTAATAACAGTTTTACAAAATCGTCAAGCAATGCGCCAGTATTAATAACTACAGCTAAAGGCGCATCAGATAACATGCAATGCAGATAACGACAGTTGACAATATATATCGTATATTGGAGCAGTAAACACAGTATTGAAAACGTAATATTCAAGTGTTATTATACACTTTATTGATTCTGATTTCCAAATACGGAGATCAGGTTTTCTAAAATCTGGGTGTGATGTGTTAGAGGGCAGCCAGTTACTTTCGTACATAATGAAAAATTCCCGACCTTAAAAAGAGCGATTTTCACATACTATCCAGTTCGCATAATGTACATATTATACATAACATATTGAATCGAACAACATAATAAAGACGTAACCGAAAGCCGAGCTTTGGGTTAAAAATTATTCTTAATAAATTTGAATGAGGGGATTGCTATAGATAGAACTAATTATACACATATGTATTCCACCCACCCTCTATCACCCAAACAAAAAATCACACGAAAAAAATCACTTTTACAGAGATTTATCACATGAAATGCACGGCAGTATTTGAAGTTATAAGTCAAACAATTGACGTAGTTCGTAAAAGCATGGTTTAAACTAAATAGCAGTTCTATAAAGGTTTCTGCAACTATCATTATCTTTCTACGAGGTTTTCTATATGATCTATCACAACCTCAAATCTATGCATTTATACTTTAATCGCCATGTGATTATAAATATGTTATAGTTTTGTTTATAACACTGCATCACTACCTCTACTTGTTTGTCTTACACTATGTCACGAAAGAGCTCTGGAGGCTGAACTCGATGCTGAGTAATGCTACATTTTTTTTCTCCCTCTTCTCGTTTCCAAATTTAGAACAACCATATAGAAATCATCATATGATTAGACTAGTTATTCATAGTCTTTATGTAAAAAAGTCGATATTCTAGCCACAAAGTGTTTTATAAAGTATTTCCAATACTTTATAAAATTGATTCGTTACTGAATAACCAATGATTATAATCTAGTACATCTTGCAAGCAATATTTAGCGTAGTTTTTTTTTTTCTTAAATATAATACTGGCCCACCAGAGGGCAGTATTATATTTAAGAAACATTTTTTAAAATTTTATAGAGAAAATATAATTAATTTTCCACTTGGATAATCTATCTTAAAGTGAATTATAAGTTGGATTTATCAGTAGCAAGAGAAGTTTATTACATAAAACTAGTATCATACATCCAACATGCTTCCGCAAGAGTAAGCACTTTTAACCTCTGGCGCCACTTGTAATAAATACTGTAACGATAAGTTTTAAGCAATAGAGTCAAAAGTCAAATTAACACATCTCTTTAGAATTAACGTCAATATTGGCTTATAACCAGGAAAAAAATTAATGTACTGTGAAATTCTTCAATTTCTAAGCTCATCAACGACATATAATATGCTAAATCACAATAATCTGAAGTGCAGATAAGTTATCAATGCTGAATCTCAGAAACCATACAGATAGGTATACTGGTTTGCAAGTTTGTTTGTTTGTTTT